ATCCCTTTGACAAAACATTTTATTTTCTTCCTTTCTTTATAGAATGGCCTCCCTGATACTCAAGCCAAGTTCCATATTATGTTTTTATTCTTTGCTGCAGCTATGTTTTCTGTCAGCTTGTCTTCTCTGTTTGGCTATCATTGTTGGCTTGTCAGCAAAAATAAATCTACATTAGGTGAGTATCCAACTATTGTAGTTGCCAGAGCTTTGAATACGTATCTAGATATTCACTGACAGTTGCCATATAATTAAATGCCAACTTGTCCTGAAGTGGTAAAAAGCATTCTTACTTCCCACATTTTCCCACTTTCCCACTTAGATACATACAAGGTCACTCATTCCTTATATTGATTGATTGTCCGTTGTCTGTGAAGCATTATGTATATATGAGCAAGGGCAAAACAGTCTAGTGAGGGGCACACAAATTAACAACCAAACATGAAGGTACCTACCAAATGCAAAGTTCTTTGAAGGAAACAAACAGATGCTGAGGGATGAATAAAGGACTGGGGATGGTGGAAGGGAACCTATTTACAGTCGGGCAATTCTTTAAAAAGTTAAACATAGAATATCCATATGAGCCAGCAGTTCCATGCCTAGGTATGTACCCGAAAGAATTGAAAACAGAGACTCAAACCGATACTTGCACACCAGTGTTCACAGCAGCACATTCACAATAGTCAAAAGGTAGAAACAACCCAAATGCTCATCAAAGGATGGAGAAAATGTGGCGTATTTATACAGTGGAATATTGCTCAGCCACAAAAAAGAATGAAGCACTGATACATGCTGTAACGTAACCTTGGAAACATGCCAAGTGAAAGAAGCTGATCGCAAAGATTATTTATTATATGATTCCCAGTTACATGAAATATCCAGAATAAGTAGAACTATAGAGAAAAATCCTAATGCTTGCCAGGGATGAGGAGACAGGAGAGTAGGGAGTGACTGCTTAATGGACATGGAGTTTCTTTTGGGGTGATGAAAATATTTAGGAACTTGATATATAGGTCGAAGTTGTGCAAAATTGTGAATATATTAAGTGCCATTGAATTGTTTGCTTTAAAAAGGCTAATTTTATGTTCTGTGAATTTCACCTCAATTAAAAACAAATAGCCCCCTAGGAAATGAGGGAAAAAGCTAGGAGTATCTGAGAAACTATGCATGTGGTGGAGCATAGAAATTTCTCATTTCTAAAGAGGTGAGCATAACTAGATGCAGTGTATGGTTCTGGTTTGGATGCTGGTTTAGACAAAGTAGCTTTAAAGTACATTTTTGAGTTAGCTGGAAAAACTTTATGATTAGATGAGATAAAATTTCAGTAAAATTGGAAAACAGTTTTTGATTTAAAAACACAGGTTGTAGAATATATGTAAAGAATAGTCTCATTTTGGTTAAAAAATGTAGATTTGTATATATCTATCCATCCATTGATTATTAATCAAAAGACCCATAAGGTGTAAAGGTTTAATTTATTTGCTAGTTTGTATTTTCTAATTTTCT